TGAAGATAACCAGCGTGGTCAAAATCTATCTGCCGCCGGAGCTGCGCACCAGCCAAACCGGCAGCGGCGCCACAACCACCAGCAGCGGCAGTGGCAGCGATGGCCCGGCGATGGAGGAGCAACTGCATCAGCTGGAGGAGATCTCAGTGGCTCCGGCCACGTCTTTGGAGGCGGGAGCAGGAGTTGGAGCAGGAGCAGGAGCCACCGGACCTGGCGGACAGCCGAAGGTCACGACGGCCGCCTAGAATTGGTTGTGCTCGCTGCTGTTCCGGCTGATGGAATGGGTGTGCGTGCCGATTGTCTGAGAACCAACATGATCCACTTATATTCTATGACCACAACCTAAATGGGAACAAACCAACTAACAAACGAGAAACTAGCAACAAGCAAAGTGCAACAAGTAACATGCAACATTCAACGTGCATAGGGAATTTGTGAACCCGCTGTGGGTTTCGAATGGATTAGAAGCGAGTAGTCAGTCTGTCAACAATCTTAGCTCTATCTTTACTCAAGTATTTTACCGACATAAGCAACTGAAACTTTAACTGTAACTGTAACTCTAAATCTAAATCTAAATCTAACTCTAATCTAGATAGATGCTAGCGATTTACACGATATTTACCATTTATAGATGTACGGACTTCGAGAAAGTGCTATTTAAACTCGTCTAAGACTTCACTGCATAGCCTATGCCTAGAATCTATAACTGCAGATTGTTTCATATTCATATACAACACTGTATACACATAGATATATTTACGATCGTTATAGATCAGCGATACCTTATACGATATAGCCCTTGAATGTACAACATAGTTACTTACTAAATGTTAGCAATTTTACCAACTAAACTCGAGATGTATTTATTAACGCCTAAACTCTTTAGTATTCCACCCCTCTCCCAAGAACCCAAGAACCCAAAAAACGCCCCAATTCTCATATATATACCCTATTGATACTTATATATATATATATATGTTAGCGTGTGTATATAGGACAAGCGTACAATAATCGCAAACCCAAGGAGCAAAGTAGTACTAAGTACCTGCAAAACAAACAGAAACGGAAACAGAACATGAAACACGAAAAGTATCTCTGCAGTGGATATTACATAGTCAATAATAAATGTTAACAATGTTATACTATATATACATATATATATATATATATATACATATAAAAGAAAACCAATGAAGAAATCTTAAATGTACCTCGTTATCTGTTGTTTATTATTTGGGAAGTGCAAACTTCTTTTATAGCTGTTTTACGTTGAACCCTTTACCTGGAATATTTCTTTTAATCTGGACAAACTCGTTTCGTTTTTCTTCGTTTTCCTTCAGAATTTCTCTACAAATTCTCTTTTCATTTATCCATTTGGACACTTTTTATTCTTCTCTTACTTTCAACTGTCCATCGTCCAAAACTGAATTCGAAATAAAACTATTTTCTCAAAAAATGTTCATCAAGTTCCTCTCATTTGAAATCATCTAAACCTCATCGACTTCTCCTTTCATGTCCTTCATTATCAGAGCGTTGGCATCCTTTCCTGATGGAAAAAAATGTTTGAGAATTACAGAAAAATTCAGGAAATATTTTTGATCAGGATGAGCATAATCAATAAAGCTCCCACATTTGGACGTGGCTCAATTTGGTGCTTTGAATTAACCTTATCCACGGTTTTGGACTGATTTACTGAAATCTCAAGGAAAATCTGGATTCGATTTCTTCCTGCAGTTTTTTTTCAATATCTCCCTGGAGACGTCTTAAATATTGAGCAATCCTATATAGACGTCCAAAAATAGGAACCTAGTCGGTATTGGTCACTACTATTTCACTTGGATTATCGTTGGATACAGGTGATCCCAAAACTTCCAGCCAGATGATTAACCTCTCTTGGATATACTTATATTATACAAATCTCTGTCATGCTGATGAAAATCTTACCCCAAAGGAGCAGAACAATAAAAATCAGTATTGAGTTAATATTGATGATGATTGGGTGATTTTTACTACAGTGGATTTCAGTTGGAATTAGTTGGCAAGTTGTAAATTGAATTTCGGTTTTGGAATGTAGCATTGAACTGGAAATACTCCAATCCCTGATATTCTACTGGTATGTGATTATACCCGTTACTCGTAGAGTAAAAGGGTATATTGTATTCGTGCAAAAGTATGTAACAGGTAGAAGGAAGCGTTTCCGACCCTATAATGTATATATATTCTTGTTCAGGATCACTAGCCGAGTCGATCTAGCCATGTCCGTCTGTCTGTCTGTCTGTATGAACGCTGAGATCTCGGAAACTATAAACAGCTAGAAGATTGGCATTTTGCATGTAGATTTTAGGAGTTCCTACGCAGCGCAAGTTTGTTTCAAAATGGTGCCACGCCCCCTCTGACGCCCACAAGCCACAAGCTGTGGCCACAGTTTTGATGCTATTTTGAAAATTTTAATTGATATGTATTTGTTTCGTCAATACCTATCGATTGGCCTAATAAAAGTTTGCCACGCCCACTCTAACGCCCAAAAACCCATTAAACGCTTAAGCCTGGCTAGCGCCTACATTTCCGCCTTTCATGGCGCCATCTAACGGATGACTTTGGAACAGCTGGCCAAGGTGCTCAACAGAGTCAACGTTAATTCTCGATAAGGAGTTCTATTAAAGGAAATTGCGATGGTTTTCATTTGTCAATACCGAACTATATCCCAAGAACTATGCAAATCAAATCAAGTTAGCCAAGTTGGAGGTCTGAGCCAAACAATGGCGTGTGTATGTATGTAAGCATATACATATGTATGTATTTACATTATACACAGTTGCAATTGTTTAGCTGAGTAACGGGTATCTAATAGTCGAGGCACTCGACTATAGCGTTCTTTCTTGTTTTTACACTAACTTGTGTAATGTCTTGTCATCGGATTTTAGGTAAAAATAGTTTATATGAGCAAATTTCGGATTTTATTAAAATTTATTTTATATAAAGTAGAATATTTTGTAATCTGCCTTTTTTTTCATATTCGACTAATATTAACTATTTAACTGGAAGAAAAATGCTTTTATTTTGAATGCTTTGAATTTTTGATCTAACGAATTTTGTATTTTTCAATCTCGAAGAAATTTACTGTGTCAAATAAAAAACATGCAAATAAATGAAGTATGCTAAACTTAATGCAAAACCTTTAACTTAAAAAAAACAAACACACCAACAACAGAGAAAGAATTTCCCAAATAGTTTTGAAGTTTCTTAAAAACAATAGCTTAATATTCAAAATTCGTTTAATTTATCTTTACATATTCCGAGCTTTGCTATTTATTTAGTATTTTATTTAAGGCAAATTAAAATCGTTACTTTTACATTTCACTTGCTTCTTATAAAAATTTTAATTTGGATTTTGGCAGTACACATATTATTTTCAAGGCAAAACATGTTTAAAAGTTGGCGCCCAATATTCCCACAAAACGCGTTAGCACTTAATTCAATTTGAGCAGCAACTGATGGCGTGCTTCTTCTTCAACCTTTTACAGTCACCTGCTAAAACATATTAATATGCAATAAATAATTGTATATAAACTAAGCAGAGACCAAAACAATGATAATAAGTAAATAAGCTAAGTCCAATTAGTTATAATAAAATGCAATAAAATCCAACGATGTGGCCACTCTGCCGGCCAGGTGGCAATTTCGTCACGGTGTGGACACACTGCCCGCCACTGCTGGTCGGCTCTTCTTCTTGCCACTGCTGCAATTATATATCGCTGTTCCGTCGTCTCCGCCGATCCACCTCCGCGCTAAAATTGCCAAATAGCTTCAACGTCCGCGAATAATCCGTAAATATTGCAATTCCACGGTGGCAAAAAATATGCCAAAAAAAAGGGTTATAAAAACAAACGGAAAAACACACACAAACACACGTACGTGAGCAGCTGACGCCGGCAGCGACTGCGACTGCGGCAGAGGCAGCAACAAGCAACAAAAGCAAAAGGCAAACAATTGGATAAGCGCTTTTCAGGTGTTAAAACTACGGGTAATTTAACAAGTCCAAGAGTTCAGCTCGAAAAGCTAACGGTTCCAAGGTCGCAGCGCTGAAAAACAAAAAAAAACACAGTGACTGTTTAACCGTATTGTTGTTGTTCTTGCTGCTGCTGCAACAGTTGCAGCGCGTGTGTGAGAGTGTGTGCGTGTGATCGCGATCGTTCGTCTCTGTCGCACTCATTTCGCATGTGTCGCCGGTGAAATGGTGTCGCCTTTCGCTGCCAACGTCGACGTCGCGGCTAGCGTCGCTGCCAGCGTCAGCGCAGAGACCACCGCAGTGGCCATGAAACGAAATTTGTTCTGAATTTAGTAAAATGTTTACAATGCGAACAATATACACTGGCAGAAATCGAAAGTGCGCAACATGAAATAAAGCCCAACAAATAAGTTATATAAAGAACAGCTGACAAGACAAGCATTAAACCATTTTACTCAGTTAAACAAGTCGAAATAAGCTCTTTAACGTTTTAAATACACTGTCCTGGATTTCCAATGCGAATCATATACACTGGCAGAAATTTAAAATTAACATCATGAAACTATAAACAAAAAAATAACAAAAAAAAAAGTTCGGCGTAATAAGCAATTAAACAAGTCAATATTGGCCATTAACTTTATTAAATATCAAGTAGAAAACACAGTAGTGGCCATGATAATTCGGGCATGCACAATATAATCTTTTTAATTTCCAATTATGAAAAAAGTTTACAAATATTACCGACCATGCCGTTTAATTTGAATATTAAAATATAAATTATTTTTTCAAAAACCTAAAAATAAAATAATTACTGATCAAGAAATAAGAAGACACTATTTCAAAAGATAGGAGCTTAAAATGTTTTATTTTGTCTAGACACTATAATTCCTTTTTTGTTTACTCAATGCCAATACAAAACGAATAAAACAACTCGAGCACATTCTTTAATTGTTTGATTCTATTAGTGACCAAAAATCAAATATCATTCTAGTTTCCTCGCAGTATCAAATAAATACAAAGATAAACGGAAAACAGCTGATTAATTTAAAATGATCTGAATGTAAACACAGGAAATAAGGGGTATCGTAAACACCTTAATAAACTAACTAAATACTTAAATTGCTCAATTTAAAATTCCCCATTCCACTAGTGCTCTTAATAGCTTGAAAAGCAAGTGAAAAAATATAAACAAGAGTGCTAATTAAAATAAATATAAAAAACAAAGAAAACCCAAAGGAAAGTTGGGAAAAGTGCCTGAAACCAAATGTGTTTTCCCTAAAGTTAAGTCCCTTTAATTCCCTAATTCGGCTTTAATTCCGGTAAAGCCCTTCTTCCACCTGTTCCCACCTCCATTCTACACAATAATTCCCCAACAAAAACAAGCACATGAGTTGGATTAATAGGAGTCAACTGGAATAGGCCGAAGCACCCCGGAGCACAGGTCAGTATCGGAACAATCAGGCCATATTAACTGCCATCAATCAGTTAAAATATTAAAATACCGTTTGCTCAATTGAATGGTTCGCCTTGAATCGGTTGAAACTGGTTACCGGTTACCGGTTCAGTTCGCAAGCCGGCAAAAGACAAATTGAAAATTCAATTAATTTAAATCAATTCCAACTTGACAGTTTGGTTTCATTTGGTTTCAATCACATGTGTCTGCTTTGAACTCATATATTTCATAAAACTGCAATCAAAGATTGCGTAAGTCAAGGAATGAGCAAATGCAAATATTACGGCTAAAAAACAAAATGTTTTGACAGATGCAAATTATTCGAAAGTTGCATTACAAATCTATGTGTATTTAAAATCACTACATTTAGTATGGGAGATTATAGAATCCTTGAACATTATTTGTATCAACCCCAAAAACAAAGTTTTCAATTAACCAACCGATTGACCCCATCTCACAAACGATTAAAATATAAATGCATGTTTGTATTTATTTAAATCTCAAATTATTTTATTTCTGAAATCGACGAAACGAAATAATCATTAAAATGGTAATTTAATGATGCAGTCGCCTTTTTCAGCAAACAAAAACCCAACCCCATGATAAAAAAAACGAAAATCAAAATAAAATGGATGATTTATACAATAATTAAATATGCATTTCGTTCGTCGTAGGCACATTCATACACATATATCTGTTCTTTATTTGTCGCATTTGGTTTGAACTTTAAAGAGCGACTTCGGTTATTAATTTAACCTTTTTATTTGCTTCTTTTTATCGCCAGTTCCGAAACTTGAATCCGCGATGGCCTCCTCTCCAGATTTCTGAGCCCCTTTTAGCTGTCCAGTTTTTTTGTTGGTGCCCTTAATGGAAAAAATGTTGAGCGGTCTTTTTGTTTTACTCCTTCCTTTTATTTGACCCTTTTTTGTATACCCTTGCAGGGGGTAGTATAATTTCGTTTAAAAGTTCGCCATGCTGTAGAAGATATCAGCTCGACTTTAATAGGGTTAATTTAATTTTAGAATTTCGTTTTGGATTTTTTAAACTTGAGAGAAGTTAGGCCTATTGGAAGGGGATGGTATATTACCATTTTTTTTACAGACAACAACAAATAGTAAGCATTTATTTATTAAAAAAAATTCCCCATGATAGGTTTTAAAAATATAATTAGTAGCTATTGAAATGTATAATTTATAAAACCGTTTTTAAAACTAATCTTTAAAAATACATAAGATACGGAAATACCGAATAATGGACCTTCTTAATTTCGGTCTCTATCTTTCCATTCTCGTTTTGATTGTTTTTTTTTTGGTGTGTTTATGCTGCGTAAGGGGACTAAAAGAGGTAGGGGGATTTTAAAATGGAAGAGGGTGTAGGGAAGGGGTGTGCAGAGGGAACCCACGTCCTGCCATAAAATTGCATGTCCATGTTGTTTTATTTGATTATGCCAGTGTGTGCGTGTGGATTTTTGCTGTTTGTGTTTTTTGCAAGAGTTTATTGCGCGGAATGCTATTTAATAAATTCCATTTTCGACTCCCCTCCCCCCTGCCTGTCATATCGCCATGTTTTCGTTGTTGCATCTCGGTCGGGATTTATCTTTCCATTCAGTTCTTCCTTTTGTTAGTGCTGTTTCCGCTTTTTATCTTGTTTGGCCAATGCAAATTTTAAAATTCAATTTCGCTCGTAACTTCAATTGCATCAAAGGCTAGCCAAAAGTTGGGAAATGGGAAATGTGAAATATGAAATATGAACATCCGTAGAAAACATCCTTTTTTTGGCTCCGCTGCAAATTCATATTTCATTCCGAGATTTATTATTACATTTTTCCCCTATTTTTCCCCAAATGCATCTCACTTCCCGCGGCGCTTAGTTTTCCTTTCGAGGAAACTGGCACAAAAATAAAAGTATAGATAAAAGGCGACGAACAATAAAGACGGCAAAACTTAAGCACCTTAACTCACTTTGCAAGCTCTACAGCCAGAACTACAACAAAAAAATAGAACTCAACATATAATCGAGAAGAGAGCGAAAGAAAAGAGTTTCCAACTACGCTAAAAACTTTTCTGAACAACGCAACTTTTTCTTTTTTGTCCGGAAAAGTTGTTCAATGCTCGTACCCCGTTGTTATTGTTATTGTACGCAACTTCCGCTACAGCTATAACTATAACTATAGAAAAAACAAAGCCAAGAACATCGACGATAAGCGCGAGTTCAATGGTTAAAGCTAAAATTTTTTGTTGTTTTTTGGGAAGAAAACTTTAAACATTGGTTCGCTGGGTTTTCTATTCCACTTGTTCTGGTTATGCCACGCCCTCAAAAACAAAAGCAAGGACATGGGAGCCCTAAAAATGTTCCTGTAAGCTGCTAGGAAAAAAACAAAAACTTTTAAAAACAACTGGCGAGGAAAAACAGGGGCAGGTGGGCGGCAACAAAAGCAACAATGTTCAAGTGCATCCACAGGCAAAAACTTTGAAAACATACAATAATATATTTCAAATTAAAAAAAAAAAAAAATTTAAAAACATTTTTTTTTCAATTATTCATTTACTATTGTGTCCAGAAACAGGTCCTTAAATACTCTTTATTATATCGATTATAAGAAAATTTTTTTTTAAATTTAAATTAAACCATAAAAAATCTTTTGCCAAATGTTTTAAAAATTAAAATTTTTCCAGATAAAGAAAATGTGACCTTAAGTAAAAGTGTTGATAATGAAAACATTATATTATACATATATATTATTTCTCTATTTATAAAAAAATAAGTTTTCTTAGTTTTTTTCAATCCTTGAACACTTTTAGGTGTTGTTTTACTTATATTTTGACCACAACTGTATATCCAACACACCGAAAAACAAAATAAAACTGCTAACAACTCTCAAAAGCTTGCACCAGAAAAAAATAATACAAAATATGGGCGCTCGAAACTGCATTTTCCCCCTTGCAGCTGGCTGAAAAGCAACAACAATTTCTTGCCCCCACTTTAAGAGCCACGAACTGAAATAAAAAATCAATAAAAATGCGCATAAATAAATTAAAAATAATTGCAATATGAAAAACTCCCTTTTTGCATGCTTTTGTTTACATTATACAACTTTATTATGGCCACTAAAATGAGTGCTGGAAAATTGCTTACATTTTTGTAAATAAATAATGAAACATTTAATTAGTTGGGGCAAATACCATGATTGCATAATTTTGATTGAAAAATAAATCAATTGCAAAATAGTGAGGCATTGTTCAACTGTTGTTCCCCATGATGATGAGAATCGCTAATCGAGGGCACCACAAAATTGTTTAGCGAATTTGCTGTGGGGGCATTTATAGTATGTACTTGATAAAGCGAATTAGCACCATTCGGAGCTGGTCCGTGCTATAAACAAATAAGCGATATATATTTAGCCAGGCGACTGACCGGATTTATCTGGAACTCCAAAGTGGCAAAAATCTTCGTCCATCTGATTTCATACTCGTGGGGCTTTCCTCTACGCTGATTTTTCTTTTCCGTTTCGCTCGTTATCAGCTCGGCATTCTGTGGCTCTTTCGAGTGTCCGACTTGCGTCACATGTCTGAAATCGCTATACATATTAATGAAAACAAATGCGCGTCGCAAAAAAAAAAAGAAGCGCGAAGCGAAGTAAATCAAATCAAATAAAATCAGATCGCCTCAGAAACAAGAAGCAACGGCCGACAAATCGTCGAATCACTTTAACATGTAAATCATTTTTTTCTTATTTCCATCGCTATTTTTTATACTTCCCACATTGATGTCCAGAGCTCAGAGATCATGATCGCAGAGTGATGCGGGTTATCGCGAGACCCGCGCTGAAATAGGTTATCGCCATCGGCGATCGTTCGATTAACGAGCATCAATTCTCTGATCACAAATAGCTGCCAACTGGACTGGAGGCTGGTCCCAGAAAAGAATATCAAATCTGTCCCAGTTAACGATTAAATTCGGCAAAATTGGGAGTCAAACACTCACTTAAAAAGTTCAAAATATTCCTTTTCTCAGAAATCTATGACTTTTTTAAGCTTCTCACTCGTGACACATTTTGACTTCTAGATTAAAATGAATAGGTTTATTGTTATTGTTCAAAGAACAGTATAACAATTTTTATTACTTTTTGTTTTAATTTATGTTCCCATTCCGAACTTATTTCTAAGATGTCAGCTTAACAACTTAATAACATTTATTTAAAAAAAGAAATAAACTCAGATAAGAACTCAGATTGAAATCAGGGGTTTATACATTTAGTTTTTAAGCATCAATGCTCTTTTATATGAATGCAAATGTATAATGTCTTATGCAATATTAAGTTAAGAAATATTAAATTAAACAATTACTAAATATCCTTTTTATTTGTATTCCTCCCATTGCAGTTGCAAATATTATGGAAAAGGCGAAGGCGTATATCAAGAATGAACTCCGCGGTGGCAGCCAGCAATCCGAGCCAGCAACCACGCCGAATCCGACCTCGCCGGCCTCGGCTGGAGCGCTCCAAGCGACCAAGCAGCCTTATCCGCCCGTGGAGCTGATGCCCTCGCCCGGAGCAGCGGCTCATCGGAGCAGCCGGACGCCCAGCGAGCAGTACCACTTGGCGGGCTATCAGCCACATCCCGCCCAGCACTACTATCCGGGGGGCAAGTCGACGGGGAGGGCGTCGGCTCCTCCCGATCATCACCATGTGCCCATGACCATTTGCTTTGTGTGTGGCGGACATGGTGGCTACGAGCCGCATCCCCTAAGGATCCGCCACAATGCCGAGCGTCCTGCCGAATCATACTTCCCCTTCCTGGAGCGTCATGAACCGCCGAACGGATTGCCTGCGGTGTCGCCTGGCCAGGATTACGTGTGGGCCTGCATGCTCTGCTTTCGATCCCTGAACGAGCAGTGGGATGCCTACGAGCGACAGAAGAAGCCCCTGCTGCAGCGCATCTACCACATGAAGCGGGTGGACGGAAAGGGCTACATAGGCGCCGATGTGGCCACCCAAAGCGAGTATGCCGCCCAGGTGTTGGGCCTGAGTGCCGAGCATCTCACCCAGAACGGCCTGGTGGAGGGCCATGGCGATCCCTACGCCTTGGCACGCCACTACTCGCCGCATCAGCAGTCACACCACCACCACAGTACCTCAAGGAATGCCTCGCCCTCGCCGAACCCCAGTGCCGCCGCTGGCGGTGGTGGGGATTTCTATCCCAGGAACTCGACGCCGTCGAGCAACCACAACAGATACCTGAGCAGGCCGCAGTCGCGGGACATGCCCGTGGCCTCGCCCACATCACGACCGCCCAGCGAACCGCCGGCCATGAAATCCGCCGGCTATGCCCAGCAGAAGTTCAAGCTGAGCCCGGCAGCACCTCCACCTGGCTACCAGGGCCAGGCGCCCTACCATCCCGCCCAGTATCAGCAGCTGCAGCAGCAGACGGCCGCCTATCATCTGCTGCAGCAGCAGGTGAACGCTGGCGGAGGAGCACCGGAGTCGGCCCACTACAAGGGCAATCCCTACAGTGCGGTGCCCTCGCCGGGAAGTGCGCCACTGGGACCTCCGGCGCCGTCCACTTTCGAAGATGACAATGCCACCGTGCTGGATTTGCGGAACTCCTCGTGTTCCAGTGCCCCACCGGCACCTCGGCAACATGGGGCAAGCAGTGCGTCTGTGGCGCCACCCAGTCAACCGCAGTCGGAGGTGGGAATCCTGGACCTCTCCATGCCGGACAAGAACTCCATCACCGAGGTGTGCTACGTGTGTGGTGATGAGCAGCGAAGGGGCAGCCTCATAGAGCTGAGTACAGTGAAGCCTAGGGAAACGGGCAGACCGGGACAGCCTGTGGCCTATTTCCCCCTGTTCAACGAGCAGCATCCTCGACCGGCACGCTCCCGACCGAAGGATCCGCGCGGAATGATCCAGGCGTGTCTGCCCTGCTACGAGGACCTCATGCAGCAATGGAACGCCCACCAGGTGAGTTTGCAATTCAAATATGGGGTTCCGTCATTGGCATATATGCATATGGAGCAGATTCATCCGGTCTCGCCGGCGATTTCTCGATTAACATCTCGATCTGGAATGGTGTCGAGGTGAAATGGGGGTTTTAGTCGAATTTAGGGACTTGGATTTCTTTGTTTTCATGGTAAACTGGAGGAGTATATTGAATTTTGCAGTTTAAGAACTGAAAAACTGGGAACTGCACAGCGGCGAAATGGCATCTGGAGAAAAATTTTTTTACTTCTAGCTAAAAAGTAATCGATTTACCTTTGCTTATTTGGAGTTAGTACTCATACTCGTTCTGTTGTTTCCCCGCTACAAAGTTATTTCTTTTATTTTATTCTTTTTTTTTTCCTTTTTAAAACTAAAGATAAGATTTAGAGTCTTCAAAGACAACTTTAAAAGTTAAGTTCTTAGAATTTTGCTAATGTCTTCTTAGGGAATGTGTCTTAGGCAATCTAATATTTCATTTTATTTAAGTCATACATTTATTTAAAAATACATTCCTGCAAATTCTCGAGCCTAAACATTTATCAAAATGGGTTCGCTTTAAGTTAACCCCCCAAATGTACATGTACGTATCCACATAAAATGTATGAATATGCAAATAGAAATGTTTATGGATGCTGGCGTATACATACCATCGTTTTTCCAAATATTTTGTGAAAATTTCAATATTGTGCACTCTCGCATAAATAATGGAATTCAATAAAAATGGTTAGGGGGCGGTGAAAAATGGGAGCACCACACGCTGGGTCGAAAAAAAAGAATGAGGAGATGCAAAATGGGAAATGCAAAAACAAACCTTGGCAACAAAATAAAAACATAAAGTAAAAGAGGAGAAACAAATTTACGAGAGCAGTTTTCGCGTCGCACGAATCAAAATAAACAAAAATATGGCCACAGCTCCCAATGCGGATGATGACGATGATGATGATAACCATAGCGATGAGGCTGGACAACGACGATGATCATGATGATGTTGGCGCCACGGAGATTGACCCGGGAGTAAGGCTCTCCACTGTGCGAACGATTAATCAGTGGGGTCGTCGTCGTCGTCGTCGTCCACACACACTTTATAGTATATTATTCCCCTTGCCCCCGCCCGCAGAGGGAATTATCATCATCCACCGACAATCCGCAGCTCAGGGGATCAAGGAGGGGTCACGCGGGAGGAGACCTCGTAAAGGCGGCGAATGTTGTGGGAATTTTGACCGCAGGGTCGCTGTGTTTCTGATTAAATTTTAATAGCTTTCCGCGATTATTTCGCTTCTTTCGTTTTGTCTCGCATTTCGCTTATTTTCTTCTTTTTTTTTTGTCGCCGCGCAGCACAGTCTTTTTTTTTTTTGTCTTTCGATTTTATTTCTGAATGCGAAAATGTATTTATAAATTTGAGACATCGCCCTGGTTTCGCTCATTGATAGTGGTCGGTGGTGCACCTTGTTATGGGGAGTGGGGCACGAAACTTGGTATCAGTCTGCTTAGTATTTCTTGAATGATTCACGTATAAATCGCTTTAATGAAAGGTTTCCTACCTAAAGAGTTATAATGACTTGTTAGGGGGAAACTAAGTAATTAAATTTCCTTTTTTAACAGAGGGTTTTTAAGATTTTGTATGACCCGAAATTAAATTAATAAGTTGGTACCTTTTAGTGAAGATTCGATTTCACTATCCCTTTTTTATAAAATAAATCGTAGCCAACAAATATTTAAATTTAAAATGGTATCATGGTAAGCTAATACTAGGTTTTAAAAAGTAATAACTCCATTTATCTTCTTAAAAACTTACTTTTAGCTTACAATGCGGACAAGAAAATGGTCTTATATTTGCATTACAAATCGTTAAACATTTTCCCGTAAAATAAATACTAAATTTAGTACAATTTAAATCTTTCGTTTAACAAGGTTTCTGCAGCTATTTGAAAGGATAATTAAATTCAAGGAATTCGATTTTAAAGTGTACAAATTATCAAATAACTTAATTTAATATAATTTTGGCCTCAACACCTTTAAGATCACTCCATTCGTGACCAAAAATACTCAGATTTGCAATATAAAATGTGTCATTCCTTCCGTTCAATAAATAAATAATTCAGTGGACGAAAAACTTGTTAAAAATTTGAATTTATAACAAGGTTACTGCAGCTATCTGAAAGGATAATTTAATTTTGAGGCATTCGATTTTAAAGGGAAAAAAACAAATAACTTAATTCCATTTTTGAGAACACCCCCGATTCGCCTCCCACTCGTTCGCACGCAACAAAGCCCGCAAATGTAAATTAATTTGTAGAGGTTCACCCCCCCAGTCACCCATCACCACCCATCGCCACCCACCGCAACCGCCTGCCCTCGGCACGAAACCAAAACAATTTGAATTTTAAATTCAACGCAGAAATTTCCAACATGCTATAAAAATGCAAAATTCACAGCTGGTGAGGCTCTGCCGGCGTCGCTGTCGGCGTCGCAGTCGCTTTGCGAAACTCGGGAATGCAATGTGTAAAATGCCGGATAAATAATTAAATGCCATTAATTGGAATTGTGTAAATTTCGCAGGAAAAAGTAAAGCCCAAACAAAAATAAACGGTGGAAAAAAATGAATGCCCGCGAAATAATAAATAAATAAATAAAGACAAATAAAATGGCAAATGCTGCAATGCAGAGAAGGGCGTGAGAGTTGTGGAGTGTGCAGCCTATTCAGGGAAAATGCAGGATGAATAAATAATCAAACTGGGAAAATCATTGCGACTGGGCTGGGGCGACGAGACAAATTAATTAAATTTAACCCAGTAAACCATGGAAATTCTCGTTTGGCCGGCTGCCAGAAAAGCAACCAAACCGAGCCTACGACGCGTTTTCCTCCCTCCCCCACCCCCAAATGACGTGCACTCATTTCCCATTCAACGAAAAGTGCGAAAAACAATTTAAATATTTATGCTCAAAATTTATTTAAAGCCCACCGAGTGAAGCCAAACAAAATCAAATCATGAAAAAAGTAAGAAAATTTAAATCGATCCGTTGGTCTGGCTCGATGCCAGAACCGAAATAAACGAAAGCCATAAACTATATCGAGATATGTTATAAACAATTGTATAAACAAATCTCTTTAGATACAGATACCCTCAAAAGTGTGCAGTCGAAAGTGAATTTTGTTTTTTGGTTTGACTATCCAAACAATTATTGTATATTTTTAAAATTTACTGAATTGTTTAGTAATTGTTTAAATTATTAACTAACAATTATTAAAAATCAAAAATTAGAAGTAGAATATTATAATAAAACACTAAACAATTCGTGTTGTATTAAGGCCCTTAGTTTGTTTAAAATGATATGTTGTTACAGGGTAATTCCCACTTTGATATACTAAAATCATATTTTTTTGCCAGTTAGATCCACATAAATGTGCAAATGAACCCAACTCGTTTATCGCTTGTCTTTAAATACCCCCAATAATAAATCAAATTTATGTTTGCCATGGCATTATAAAATTCTGTATAAAAATTCGCTGTTCCTGTGAATGTCATTAAAATATTTTAAAATCGCACGCCTTTATTTCCCGAAGCCGATGATTAATTGTTGATTAAACATTTCCTTAATTTATGGGGTTGTGAATGGATGGAAAATGTGGAACAAACCAGTAAAAAAAGAACAGATTATGAGATTGACAACAATGACCTGCGGTATTTCCTTGGCTCCCAAGAATTTCCTGGCAGCCTGCCCAAAAGTCAATAAAAGAAACGCAAACACGACCCAGACATTAGATCCGGATAAAACTGGCGGCGAAATCACTTTCAACCGAAAAACGTTGCCATTATAAAATGAAATAAAATACAAGAGAATAAATTAAGCAAATAATTTTTGGTGTGGGATAATTGGATGAGTCGCTTTCTGTTTATGGGTTAATTCTCGTGTCATATTGAAGGAAACATTTATTATATCTTTTAGCAGAACTTTATTAAATTTTTACTACGTACTTATTGATTTTGTCTGTGACAAATTTTTTGGTTTTATTTTTCGCTATAATTTGTTCAAAGTTTGACATAGAAAAATAGTAGAATTAACCGGTTTAACGCTAATAAATTCAAGAGTACTGAATAGTCTATCGACCTTAATATAAAAGTGAAAGTTTACAAAGCCTATAAAAACCACGCACAATGAATTCAGAATTTCATTCTTAACTAAGTTGGCCTAGCTATATTGGACTTTATTGACGGAGGATCAATTAATTAATAAGAACACCATTTAAAGCTGCTTGAATTTCCCGAATTGAGATAGTTATGCAATCTTCTTAGTAGAGACTCTCCCTGGTATAGAAACTATCCCAAACAACAAACTGTTTGCTTTCCGGCAATGGGATGAACTCCAAACCATCGGCAATGTTGAGGCAGAGTTCCGAGCCACCTGGTCGCAAAGGATCCCACTTCACGGGGGCGATGATTTCGCAATTGGGATCTCCAGTGGCGGCAAATGCTGTCCACATGCCAACCAACCGCTCAATGGTGCGGTATTCAGGAGATTTCTTGTCCAATTTACTGGCGAGTACTCCGTAGAACAAGTAGGAGATGTCGTCTGCATGGCTCACACCCCTCACCTTTCTACCACACTTCAAGATCCTGTAGTGATTGAAGTGGGGCGAATCCATGTCGAATCGGTAGAGATACGTGGATGAGCTGGGCGCATAGGCCAATCTGGCGAGCAAAGTGCGATGAATGTCGTGCCAGAAGTTCTTGATGCTCAGGATGTGCAGACATTCGTACAGCTCCATGCTGGCCCGTTCAGGATCGTCGAAGTAGGACTTCTTCAGCCTCCTTACCATCTCCGCCAGCTCATCCTTATCGATGGCATCTCGCACTTGCTTGGGAATGATTGCCTCGAAGGCACTCAGCATATAGAGTGGATCCTGCAAGGTGGTCTGATACGAGAAGAGTCCTTCGAAGGAGGTTCCGCCTATGATCATCGGAATCTGATTGCCCCAGGCACTGGACAACTGCTCCTGTTGCGTCTTTGGGATCACGCAATCCTCGCCAACATAGGGTTCGATTACCGGGGCAAAGGCCAAGATCTCATAGTCCCGCTCCTCCTCCTGCGTCACAATCGCATTGCAGTACAAGGCCAACTTGGCAGCGGGTATTTGCTGGAAGAACTCCAGCAGTTCCTTCTCGCTGTCCAGATTACCGGCATAGCCCAGTTCCTTGCCCAATCGTTGGGGCCATTTTCGATCCGGTTGCGTGGCCCAGGCACATAAAGCCGAACCCGATTGAACGATGGCGCGATGGAAGAGTCCTCTGGCCTGTTCCGTTTGCATGAGGATGTGGGTGGAGGCCCCACCGGCTGACTCTCCCATAAGGGTTATATTCTCGGGATCACCATTAAAACTGGCTATGTTGTCCTTGACCCAGCGAAGTGCCTGTACTTGGTCCTTCAGACCCGCATTGCCGGGTATCTTGAGCGTCTTGTCCTTCAGACTCAAAAATCCCAGGGCACCCACGCGATAGTTGAGGGTGACCAGCAGGACATCGTGTTTCATAAAGTAATCCGGTCCGTAGAGCTCTCGGGAGGCTCCGCCTATCTGAAAACCGCCTCCGAAAATCCAGACCATCACGGGCAGAGGTTTTGGGCTCTCCAGTTTCTTGGCGTAAACATTGAGATACAGGCAATCCTCGGAGCCCTCGGCAGTGTTGGTAATAGAGTTCCTCTGCATGGGCTTCTCCCTGGCGTAGGTGCAATCCCTTACTCCCTGCCAGGATTTCAGAGGTTGAGGGGCGCGGAAACGCAGTTCACCCAGTGGAGGTTGGGCGAAGGGAATCCCTTCGAAGGAGTAGTAGAGTTCGGCATCGTAGACGGTTCTGCGCTGCTGACCCTTCAACTGGCCATATTTGGTGGACAACTCTTTGGTGTGACCCGTGCCCAGTTTGTACTGAACGACCTTATGGCCAATGACTCTGCGAAAAATGTGAATTTATTATGAGTCATCGTTCCAGTTACTCGGCAAACTTTTATACTCACTTGGCGCCCAATTTCAACTTCTCACCAAAGCTCAAGTGCAAATCCATATCTGCCTGCTCACTATTATTCCGCTAAATAAATAAATGTATTACAAATTTAATCTACTTTTTGGCCGCAATCTTCCCCGACACTTCCAACGAGCTCGAACGCCAGCCAGAGACTGAAAATGGTTCTCGCCGCTCCAGTAGATGATAAAATTGTTTAGATAGTCGCCGCGCCCTCGAGTGGGGGCCATTGGGGCGACCATAATAATTGCCGCTGTTTCGTTCGAGTTTCATCCATATGTGGATTAGTCGATGGCAATATCTGGCCAAGTATTATGCCAGGCAATCCCTAATTGAGTTCGGACAGTGCCGCATTTTGGTACACAAATTGATAAGATTCGAGTGGTAGATTGGGCTGGAAATCAAATATTTATAGCTAATACGGCTACACAGAGATTAAAAAGTTCAGTTAACTAAAGGGATTTATATTAGCTATTAACTTTAAAGAGGTTTAATATTCAGGCTGATGGAAAGGTTTATGTGGTGATTATCATAAGATTAGTTCATGGGGCAAGCTAAAGCTAGATAAATAATAATATATGAACTGTAGAATAAAAGGACGCAGTTTAATGGCTTCAAATCACTTACTTAGGTATCTATTAAAGATTAACCATAATTAAATTTAATTAAATATAACTAATTAAATATATATAATTATATTATAGCCTCGTAATTTACAAGAACCACTGCATAAAAATTAAAAAAACGGAAACGCAAAAAAATATTTTAAAGTCAAGCACGTTTCACAAACGTGAATGTTTTCTTTTCGAGTTTTATTATTATTTTTATTCTTAAATATTTAATGACCCCAAGATGTGGCTGATTTCCCTCACCTTGCACGTTCTAAAGTTTATTACTTAATGGCCATTTTGACACTTGCTAACCCAAATAATTCTATAAGCTTGTGGATCTGTTTTTGCAGTCTTCTGACAGATGCAAAGTATAGAATTTAATTGTACTGAGTGGGTGAAAGAGCAGAGACAACGTGGCTGTCATTAATTAAGCATTACAATGCTGCCTCTACTTGTTTGCGCCAAACAACGATGACGACGGCGATGACTTAAGAGGCTGAGTGGGTGGCTGGGTAAAAGGAGGGTGGTGTGGGTGAAAGGTGGGTGGTGTGGTGGGCGGTCGCCTTGGTAACGAGCACACAATTCTGAACGAGTGTCTCCTGCGGCTTCGGTCTCTTTCCGTCTGTCTAGTCGCCTTGGCCTCGCCTCCTGTTCTTTGACGTTGTTTGTGCATTAGTTAATGTGATTATTTCACACTTCGTCTGCTTTGAACTAACATTTAATTTGGCCCAACTCCCACTCCCCACGGGCTTAGCATCGCCCCTTCCTCTTCCCCTGCTTCGTTTGCCTTCTTTTGTTTACCCTGTATCATTTGTGTGTTTGCACCAGTGTTTGTGTGTGCTTACTTAACTTTTGTTATCACTCTGACTGCGCTTAGGTTCTTGTCTTTCTGTTGCATTTGTCTTTGGTCTTTGAGCAGAGAAATATTTGCATCTTAACCACTTTTAGTCAAATTAAATCTTGTTAGAGAGATTCTAAATAATGGTCAAGAGATGAGAAAATATTTAATGTTTTAAAATATATTATTATTGAATTCCTGTTATCCCTAAAAATTTATTCAATTCGTGTTTACCAACTTTAAAAACTTATAGTTATAATTGTTGGCCTATTTACAATTTCTAAACTGTTTACGTTTTAAAAATAACTACCAAATTATTTAATTAAAAAAACTTCAAGTATTTTGATTATCATTTAAAATGTAATTATATTAATTTGATTGAGATTTTAATATAAGTAAATGTATGATAAGCTCGTCCCTTTTAACTATTTTAATAATTGCAAGCAATTTGAGAGCAAAATCGAATTTCATTTCTTAAAGCCTTTAAGGATTTTGTCTGCCATTTAAATTTAATCTTGAATCATTCAACCCCTTTATTCAGTCCTTTAGTCTGTCCAACTCAATTTTGTTTGCTATTTCGCCTACATTGTTTCCGTTTTTTGTGTTGCCAGGTGGATTATTGGGTCTCTAAGTGTGTCTGAGTGCATCTCCCCCACATTCTGGCCCACCAGCCGCCCCAAAATATCCACATTGTGCAGATTCCGTGCTGTGCTGTTGGTGTTGCCATCGACTAAATAAATAAACATTGCAATCTATGTTGGGGAGCGTTTGTTTGGCTGTGTTGCTGTTTTCTTATTTGCTCCGCTTTTCAGCTCGGCGCCATTGCAATTGCACACAGGCTACGCATTTGTCTATATCCATCTATAGTGAAAACCCCCTAGCTTTAACTGACTCATGTACGATGGCAAAGCTAAATATAGGGGCTATTTGCTAGTACTTTTTGCACTATTTATGATAACTATTAAATTCATGATGGATGCATTGGTAGTATTTTTTGCACTATCCTTAGTAATTTTTAAATTTAAGTGATTTTGGAATATTTAACCAAGAAAGACAACAATTTATGTAAAAAATATCTTTAAACTGATACAAAATTTGTTTTTTAGGTACAATTTTGGGTTCGTTTTGGCCCCCTTGAATTAAGATATTAAAGTTATTTAAGTTATGGAGATAGTATTCTAAAAAGTTTCGCCATCAAATATTACTTGACTTAGTTTGACTTGCAGGAAAAGTGTCTTCTGAAAGTTGGAGCTACAGAAGTTGGACTGTATCTATATGTGCACTCCATCCACGAGTTATTCGCTCTTGGCATGACGACCTCCAAGTGCCTGCGTCTGCTTGTGCCCCTCCTCCACTTCGTCTCCCTCTCTACCCGCATCTTCGTCGTCTTCTTCTCTTTATAGTAGTGTTTACATGAAGTTGGCAGCGCCTACTTGGCAGAGGTGACGACCCCCGACCTCCGACCCATTGCCCCTCGCCTTGTCCCACTTCTTTTATTTGCTACTGTTTTTCCTCATCAATTTTCTTTTTCCTTTTTTACTACTGTTTTTCCTCTACAATTTTTTTAGCTCCATGATTTTGCTGGTTTTTGCCACTGTCCATATTTCAGGGTTGCCGTCATCAGAGGAATTTTAGGCAATAAAACTTTACTCAGCATACCGCTGTGTGGGGTCAATTTGGAATTCAATTCAATTAGAAAAGTATGTTTGCTAAAATCCGAAAACCAAAACAAAATCAATCAATTTTGCTTGTCATGCCAAGAGCACTAAATGAAAGCTTCAAATAGACTACACTCTTTTTGTATATTTTGAAAGTGGTTCAATTAAAATTTTTTTTTTTTGTTTTTCAAATGTACTTATTTTATGTTATTATTATTTTGCGAATTGAGTTTAATTGGCATATTTTTTAAAATAGCCTTTTTAAATGACACTTATAGCGTAAATAAAAATTTGAAAATATTTGCATACGTAATTGCTGAAAATTCAAATTTTAAACTTTGTTTATTTGTGAACATTTTTAAATAATAATTACATTTTGATCGTTTCGGAAACCATTGAAATAGTTAATGCTCACGGTTTCTGCGAACTGGTTCCTAATCTCTTGCATATTTTTTTGCTATTCTATTTTGTAAAGAATTGTCTACTTATTTTGGACAAAAAAAAAAAGAATAGTGCCTTTAAAATGTAAAAAAAATCGAGTCTTTAATTAAATAAAAGTAATTTAAAATAAAAATTTGTTTAGTTCAATAAAAAAAAAAATTTCACGTAAAGTTTATTAAATAAATTTTCGCATATATCCCCCCACATTAAAAACTAATAAAATTGTTTAACTGATGTTATAACTAAAGGACAAAAGTTCAATCTGTGTAAAAAGCGTTGCATACTTTCTAGCAAAAAACTGGGGCAAAGTTAAAAAACATTCCCTTCGTGGATATCTCAGGAGCTCAATGGGATATAAAGTTTTTAATATCTCAGTTTTATAAGTAGATAATTAGCTAACCAATTTGTGTAATAAATTTGATTAATTACAGAGCTAGTTCCTGTACAAAAAAGGAATATTACCAAACTATCAGACTAGTCCCCAACATCAACCTTACTGATTACCGAACTAGTTCCTTGATTTCTCAGCGATGTTTTTAATCTCCCCATTTGCCGCTCCAATTGAATGCGAATGTGGTTCACTTCGTTGTTGTTGCTTCGCTTTGGCTTTCGATTCGTAGACCGTGCGATGTGTGGTTGTGTGGGTGTAAGTAGTGGGGGTCAGGAGAGGGCTTGTGTATGTGTGTGTGTGAGAGCTCCCCATGAAGCCGCTGCCGACGCCGCTGCGACTGCGTTGTTTGTTTTGTTTGTTTGCGTTTGTTTTAGCTGCTTTTCTGCCTGCCTTTTGCTTTTTGTTTTTTGCCTTTCGCTTTGTTTTTCTTGCGGGCACAAGAACGACTAGCAACAACAACCACAATGAAGCGCAGGGCCCTATCAGCAAAGTCGACTGCGACGTCGCGGCCAGCGTCGCTGCCAACGTCGACGTCGGCAGCGTCCGCTCGATCCGTTCTTGCCGCCGCAGTCGCAGTCGTCAGTCGTCGTCGGCCGTCGCTGGCATCATTATACTACCGTTCCATCGCCACTCGATTTTCAATCTCAATTCGCAATTGTTTATTGCTCAAAAAGTGTAGGTGTGTGTTATCAACAAAATTGAAATGTATGTGTGTCAAATCAAAATTGATTAATGCACAATATTAAGTGTGACAACAACAACAACAACTACAACAGCAACAAAAGAAACAGCAGCAGCTTAAACGATTGTGTTAATAATAAAAGCAAACAAAAGTTCAATGTCTGTAGCAGCCGGTAACGGTGGCAGTGCCCCAAAACTGGTTTTAAAAATAAACTAAAAAAAAAGATATAACCGCCAACTTAACGACGCTGCTTCTGTTCAAAAAATAAAATAAAAAAAAACTTAACGTCCAACTTTGTGCCCTTTTCCAGTTAGTTAATCGCCGGCTATCATCTTCAAGGGTTAAATAAAAGGTGTCGGACGTTAGAGATGTGCGCGTGATTTCAATTTCAATCATTATCCAACGATGAAATTTGGCTCAGTGTATTTAATAATTAAATTGCTGGGAAGCAGTTCAATGATTTCCATACGGGTACTAATAAACTGAACAACAGTCACCAGCAATTGCAACAATTAATTCAATTTAAAGCAGTTAAAGTTGTTCAT